AGTAGCGTGGCCTAAGGCGTGATCGTACAGAGAGATGTCTTCCTTGGCAGTGAGCTGTAGGAAGAGTTGTAGGTCATCAAGCCAGGTGTCGAACTTCACTGGGCGCCCCTCAGCATCAAAGGCTAGCACTGGAGGGCTAGCCATGGTAGTAGCAGTAGTAAAAGCAGCAGGAGCAGTAGGTAGGTAGGGCGGCGCGGCTCGGTACAGGTAGGGCGGCGCGGCTCGGTATAGGTAGGGCGGCGCGGCTCGGTACAGGTAGGGCGGCGCGGCTCGGTATAGGTAGGGCGGCGCGGCTCGGGTCGGGCGGCGCGGCTCGGTTCGGGCGGCTCGGGTCGGGCGGCGCGGCTCGGGTCGGGCGGCTCGGTTCGGTTAGGGCCGGGCTGATCGGTGCGGGTGGCGCGGTCCTAGGTGGGGCCGTTCGAGGCGGCTAAGGGAAGCGCGGGGAGCGGGTGGGGTTGGGGACGGGGCCGACGCGGGCTGTAAGGGGTAGGGACGGGGCCGACGTGGGCCTCTAGGAGTAGGGACGGGGGCCGACGCGGGCCTCTAGGGGTAGGATCGGGGGCCGACGCAGGCCTCTAGGGGTAGGATCGGGGCCGTCGCGGGCCTCTAGGGGTAGGGACAGGGCCGTCGCGGGCCTCTAGGGGTAAGGACGGGGGCCGTCGCGGGCCTCTAGGGGTAGGCTCGGGGCCAACGCGGTCCTCTAGGGTAGGCGCGGGGCCGACGCGGGCCTCTAGGGGACGAGCTCGGGGCCGACGCGGGCCGTTAGGGTTAGGCGCGAGGCCGATTCGGGGCCTCTAGGTGCAACAGTGCGGGGCCTACAGGGCCTCTAGGGGCATGAACGTCGAGGCGCCCTAGGGCAGGTAGGCAGATAGGCAGGTAGGTAGTGGTGGGCCCTTAGGAAAAAACGGTCCTAGGAAGGACCTGCTCTATACCATGTTGAACAAGGAATGAAATGACTAAGAATGAAAATGAGTACAAATATGAAAACCTAGAAGTGTGTACCCCCTATAGGCTAACCCACTGTAGCCTAAACAACTACAACAATATATAATGTTTGACACTCGACACAGGGGACGCAGAAAGGACCAGGCCCCGGAGGAAGGGGAGGGAGGGACCGGGGAAGACCAGAGACAAGGACACGGGAAGCCATGCCTCGGAGACGAGGCAGGGAGGGGTGACCAAGACGGTGGTGCCACAGGAGAGTCTTGTGAGACAGGAGGCGACACGAGCAGGGGGCAGACTCAGGACCAGACCTGGACGCCGCAGCAAACACCTGACCTGACGCAGCTACCTGGCCAGACGCAGGGACAGGAGGAGACTCAGTGGTCAGGGTGTAGAGGCTCGACCCCGGCCGATGCGTAAACGTGGCCAGGTGCCGGCCTGTGCGAGCGTCCGAGCAGTGGGTCACCCGCTGACTCGCAGGAGTAAACTGGTGAACCCCCGCATCGTGTAGGTCAGCACCACTCACCAAGTTCGTAGAGAACGAGGGGAGGTAAAGACCAGACAAGGTGCCAGAGGGGGCAGCCGGACACGGGAGGACAGTGGAGAAGTGAGAGAGGACAGGACCCCCAGAGGGGTCTGGCAGGGAGACTGCAACCGGCCGACCAAGCGGCGTGAGTGTGGTGCGGTCTCGAAAGAAGGAGCGAGAAGCCCCTGAGTCAAGGGTGAAGGTGAGGGAGGCCGAAGCCTACGTGGTACCTGAGAGCGCAGACTCACCAGCACCTGAGGGCGCAGACGCACTGGCACCTAGAGCAGCAGCCTCACCAGCACCTAGAGCAGCAGCCTCACCAGCACCTAGAGCAGCAGTACCAATGCCCGGGTCGGGCGGGAAACACCGATAACAGTCACCCTCATCACTAATAGTCACAGCATACATGGCAGCAAGGATAGCATCAAAGTCAACATCATAGATAGCTACACCTGCCCTAGACAGCTCTCCCCAGCGGGGGATCTCAGTGGCCTCCGGGAACTGGTGACGCCAAGCGTCCGTCAGGCGGCCAAAGCAGCGCTGGGTGGGGTGGGCACCCCCACACTGCTCACCCGTGCACGGACCAAAACCCCCACCACGCTGACGCTGCGCGTACCACTCACGGAGCTGCTAAGGGGGGGGGGGATGTCCCGAGAACGCTGCTGCTGCTGGCGCTGACCACCACCGGAGCCGCTCCGCTGCGAAGCGCCACCCCGACCAGCTCTACCTTCCCCACCACCGCCTCCTCCACCTCCGCCACCGCCGCCGCCTCCACTTCCACCGCTACCGCCTCCGCCGCCTCCGCCTCCACCGCTGCCGCCGACACCTCCACCCCCGCCACCACTCCCACTGCCACCCCCACTCCCTCCGCCGCCTCCACCGCCACCTCCACCACCCCCGCTAGCTCCACCCGCGCCCTTGCCCCCCTTGCCCTTGCTAGAGCGGCGTCTCCTGCTAGGGGCAGACGCCGCACCGACCGACTCAAGACCAACGAGGTCGGCCGCAGCGGCAGAGGCGACAGAGGGCAGAAGGGGGGAAGGGGAACACCCCTCAAAGATGGGGGTGCGAGGGTCAGCACGAGAGGCTCCTACAGCGACTATGCTCTTCTCCGCTGCTAGGAGGGCCTTCTCTAGGAGGTCAACAGTGAGAGTGGTGGGACAGACTGAGAGGAAGTGGTCCTTGACTACACGAAGGGAGTCAGGGAGGCGGGTGACTATATAATAGAGAGTGATGTACATGGGGGGGGGGGGGGGGGTTCTTGGCGTAGAACTCAGCAGGAAGCGCGGCGCGGTAGCGAGTGTCACTAGTGCGGAGGTGCGTAATGAGGTCAGCGACTGTGGGAAAGGCAGCAAGGTCAGGGAAGAGGTACGGTAGCATGAGGCAGCTCAGTGCAGCAGTGGCAGGGGAAGAGTAGCGCGCAACTACAGCGTCGTACAAGGTCTGAGCACTCTTGTACTGACTAAAGTGCGCGCGCTCAGTGGTAGGCAGGTGGCGACGCACAGCAAGACGTGCAGCAGCATCGCGCGTGGCCCACTGGGAGCGAACAGTGGGGTCAGCATCAACAGTAGGGGCAGGAGAGGCGCCAGAGGTGAGGTCAAAGAGAGAGAGACCGTCTGCCTTGTCGCACTGTAGGAAAAGCTGCAGGTCATCTACCCAGACCTCAAAGTCAATGGCCCGACCCTCAGCGTTAAAACCGAGAACACTGGGGGTGGCCATGATAGAAGTAGACTAGCAATACCAACTGTAGGAGAGGGGCAGTGCAGTGACAGAAGCGCTGCTCTCACCAGACAAGGCGGTTCGGGCAGCTCAGCAGCACAGCAGCACAGCAACACGGCGGCTCGGGTGACTCGAACGGCTCAGCAGCAACTATGGCTCTGCGGCACCACCGGCTTGGCTCCTCAGCGGCTCAGGCGGCTCGGGCGGGCTCGGGCTCGGGCGGCTCGGGTGGCTCGGGCGGCTCGGGTGGCTCGGGCGGCTCGGGCGGGTCGGACGGGCTCGGGCGGTTCGGGCGGCTCGGGCGGTTCGGGCGGCTCGGGCAGAACGGGCGGCGTAGCGGTGCGGGCGGCTCGGTGGCGTAGGGCGGCAGGGCCGCAGCAAAGGGCGGCGGGGCCGCTGGCAGGGTTGCGGGGCCGCAAGGTAGGTGGCGGGGCCTAAGTGAGAGGGGCGACGGGGCTGCAGCGAAGGGCGTGTCAGAACATATAGCTTACTTATTTCTGTAGGCTATAGTGGGGTATCCCATAGGGGGTACAACCCAATTAGGGTTTCCTATTTGTACCCACTTCATTTCATAGTCATTCACTTCTTGTTCGTACTTTCTCATGGAATCAGAGCAGGTCCCTTCCTAGGGCCTGTTCCTAGGGCCCACCGAAGCGCGCCCCGAGGCGCGCATTTTTTTTAGCGACCCTCCGAGTCGCCCCTCCCGTCGTGCTCCCGCTTAGGCCCCTCGTCGGCCCCCGCTTAGGCCCCTCGTCGGCCCCGCTTAGGCCCCTCGTCGGCCCCGCTTAGGCCCCTCGTCGGCCCCGCTTAGGCCCCTCGTCGGCCCCTGCTTAGGCCCCTCGTCGGCCCCGCGTACCCCTCGTCGGCCCCGCGTAGGCCCCGCGTACCCCTCGTCGGCCCCGCGTACCCCTCGTCGGCCCCGCGTAGGCCCCGCGTACCCCTCGTCGGCCCCACGTAGGCCCCGCGTAGGCCCCGCGTACCCCTCGTCGGCCCCGCGTATGCCCCGCGTACCCCTCGTCGGCCCCGCGTACCCCTCGTCGACCCCGCGTACCCCTCGTCGGCCCCGCGTAGGCCCCGCCCAGGCCCCGTCTCGGCCCCGTGTCGGCCCCGCGTAGGCTCCGTCGGCCCCGCTTAGGCCCCTCTTCGGCCCCGCGTCGGCCCCACCTACGCCCTGTCGGCCCCGCGCTGGCCCCGCTTAGGCCCGCCACCGGCCCCTGCTACAGCCCGCCGCGTCGGCCCCGCCTACAGCCCGCCGGCCCGCCTAGGCTCCACTTCGGCCCCTCGTCGGCCCCACTACAGCCCGCACCGGCCCCTGCTACAGCCCGCCACCGGCCCTGCTACAGCCGCCACCGGCCCCTACTACAGCCCGCCGCCGGCCCTGCTACAGCCCGCCACCGGCCCTGCTACAGCCGCCACCGGCCCCTGCTACAGCCCGCCACCGGCCCTGCTACAGCCCGCCACCGGCCCTGCTACAGCCGCCACCGGCCCCTGCTACAGCCCGCCGCCGGCCCTGCTACAGCCCGCCGCCGGCCCTGCTACAGCCCGCCACCGGCCCTGCTACAGCCCACCACCGGCCCTGCTGCAGCCCGCCGTGCTGCACGTGAGCAGCCCCAGCAGCCCGCGCCGCCCGTGAGCCCCTACGCCACCCGAGCCGCGCGAGCCGCCCGAGCCGCCCGAGCCGCCCGAGCCGCCGAGCCGCCCGAGCCGCCTGAGCCATGCGAGCCACCTGAGGAGCCGTGCTGCTGTCCATGAGCTGTGTTCCTCTGCTGCTGACCTACCCGACTCTTCCAGCCCGGTGAGACTTTCAGCTGCTGCCATGGCCACCCCCAATGTTCTTACTTTTGACGCTGAGGGGAGGGCCATTGACTTTGCCGTCTGGATTGAAGACCTGCAGCTGTACTTACTGTGTGATGCGATAGATGAGGTCTCTCTCTTTGACTTTGTCTCTGGAGCTGTCCCTGCCCCGCCTGCTGATGCTGACTCTGCCGTTCGCTCCAAGTGGGCGACCCGCGATGCTGCTGCACGTCTTGCTGTGCGTCGCCACCTCCCTTCCTCTGAGCGTGCCCACTTTAGTCAGTGCAGACCGCTCAGGCCTTGTACGACGCTGTAGTTGCACGCTACTCCTCCCCTTCCTCCGCTACCCTTAGCCGCCTCATGCTACCGTTTCTCTTCCCTGACCTCGCTTCCTTTCCCACTGTCGCTGACCCTCGTTACCCACCTCCGCGCTAGTGACGCTCGCTACCGCGCTGCCCTTCCTGCTGAGTTCCGCGCCGCAAACCCTCCTCCCATGTATATCACTCTCTACTTTCTCGTCACCCGTCTTCCTGAGTCCCTTCGTGTCGTTAGGGACCAGTTTCTCTCTGTCTGTCCCACCACCCTCACTGTCGACCTCCTTGAGGAGTCCCTGCTAGCGGCTGAGAAGAGTATAGTCGCTGTAGGGGCCTCTAGGGGTGACCCTCGCACCCCCATCTTTGAGGGGTGTTCTCCTTCCCCCCTGCTGCCACTCTGTCGGCCTCTGCTGCTACGGCCGACCTCGCTGGTTTTGAGTCGGTCGGTGCGGCGTCTGCCCCCAGCGGCAGACGCCGCTCTGGCAAGGGCAAGGGGGGCAAGGGAGCGGGTGGATCTAGAGGAGGCAGTGGCGGAGGAGGTGGGGGGTGGCGGGGGGAGTGGGGGTGGCGGTGGAGGTGGTGGCGGGAGTGGGGGTACCGGTGGAGGAGGTGGAGGCGGAGGTGGCGGCGGAGGCGGCAGCGGAGGAGGCGGGGGGCGAGGGTACCGGTGGGGGCGGTGGCGGTGGAGACGGGGGTGGCGGTGGAGGCGGAGTGGCGGTGGAGGCGGGAGTGGCGGTGGAGGCTGGAGTGGGCGGAGGCGGCGGGGGTCGGAGTGGCTCGTCCCAGCGGAGCAGCTCTGGGGGTGGTCAGCGCCAGCAGCAAGCAGCAGCAGCAGCAGCGGTCTCGCACCGTCCCCGCCCCTCAGCAGCTCCGTGAGTGGTACTTGCAGCGTCAGCGTGGTGGTGCGTTTGGTCCCTTGCCCCTACGTTCTTCGCACCGGCGACCGTAGCGGGGGAGAGGTGTGGAGGCACCCACACAGCCCGCCGCTGCTTTGGCCGCCTGACCGACGCCTGGCGTCAGCAGTTTCCGGAGGCCGCTGAGATCCCCCGCTGGGGGGAACTGTCTAGGGCTGGTGTAGCCATTTATGATCTTGACTTTGATGCTATTCTCTCTGCTATGTATGCTGTGACTGGTAGTGATGAGGATGACTGTTACCGGTGTTTCCCGCCCGACCCGGCATTGGTACTGCAGCGACAGGTACTAGTGAGGCTGCTGCTCTAGGTGCCAGTGCGTCTGTGCTCTCAGGTGCTGGTGAGTCTGCCCTCTCAGGTACTGTGTCGGCTTCGGCCTCTCACACCTTCACCCTTGACTCTGGAGCGTCTCGCTCCTTCTTTAGGGACCGCACCACTCATCGACGCCGCTGAGTCGGCGCGGTTGCGGTGTCCCTGGCTGACCCCTCTGGGGGGCCTGTCCTGTCTCGCTCGCTCTCCACTGTCCTCTCCGTGTCCGGCGGCCCCCTCTGGCACCCTGACTGGTCTCTACCTCCCCTCGTTCTCGACGAACTTGGTGAGTGGTGCTGACCTCCAGGATGCGGGTGTCCACCAGTTCACCCCTGCTCGTCAGCGGGTGACCCACTGCACGGGGGCTGATACAGGTCGCCACCTTGGCTACGTTTACACGTCGGCCAGGGTCGAGCCTGTACACACTGACCACTGCTTCTCCTCCAGGTGCTACGTCTGGTAGGGTCCCTTCGTCTGGTCAGGTGTTTGCTGCAGCGTCCAGGTCCGGTCCTGAGTCTGCCCCTGCTCGTGTCGTCGTCTGTCTCACGAGAACCCTCCTCTGGCACCACCGCCTTGGCCACCCCTCTCTCTCTGCTTCGGCTCAGAGGCATGGCCTCGCGAGTCCTTGTGTCTGGTCTTCCCCGGTCCCTCCCTCCCTTTCCTCCGGGCCCTGGCCCTGCCTGTGTCCCCTGTTCGAGGGGCGCCAGCGTGCTGCCCCTCACTTCCTCCCAGTTTCCTCCGACAGAGCGACCGTTGCAGACGCTTCACATGGACGTTGTGGGGCCCAGCCCGCGTCCGTGGACAGGGTCAGGAGCGCTACTTCCTGCTGGTGGTTGACGACTACTCGCGTTACACCACAGTCTTCCCCTTGCGCAGCAAGGGTGAGGTCACTGAGGTGTTGATCGACTGGATCCGCGCGCTCGTCTCCAGCTTCGGAGGAGC